GAATTATACGATCCAGCTTCTGTGAATTTTCCTGCGATAGAAAATCAAGATCAACAATCATTAACTAGCCAGTTTCCATATGATGCTCCATCACCGCCTCCAGATGAGACTTTTGCATACTCRACATTTCCCAATCAAACAAATGTATCATATAGTAATGATGTATGTATGTTTCATTTATTATACTATAATATATGTAATAAGTTATATTTTATAGATGAATGACCATAATAAAAGTTCTACATATTCTACAAGTAATTATGAAGCTTATGTACCTACTCCAATGTCATCTAGTCAACAATTTATTACATCTGAATTCCCTAATATGGTACCTCCTACTGGTGCATCATCACTTATAAATGAAAATGCTATACCAGTAACTCATGTTCCACAAACGGGTAATTTAAATTTAATACAATATTTCTTTCATATTTTGTTCAATATTCAAAAATTTTTGAAAAAAAAAAAGATTTCTTAATTTTATCGTTTTGTATTGTGAATCAATTATATCCAACATTTTCAGCTTGGGATGTACCTGTAGATAATGATTGGTCAACAAATGACACACCGGCATCACCTCCTTTTCATGAGAAAATCTCCTATCAAAACACTCCTATTATCAGTAAAACCGAYGGAGGACCAGGAATAGATCACTGTGTTTTAGCATCAAAAATAATAGATAGAGATGAACGAATTTCTCAAGAAATTATGACTAAAACTTCTGATATTGACCACAGAAACTTAATAAGTTTGACACATTCTCCTCATATGAATTCATCAGTGGTATCTGTTGATGTAGATTACCGAGCATTTCCTGGTATTCCTATGCCACCATCACCACCGGCTTTGCTTATGGAAGCAGTCAGTAAACCGCCAAAAGATAATGTAGAAAGTGTTGATATGGATTTGAGTGATGATGATGAAAAACCTAAATCAAATCATGATCAAAAACATCCTGTACTATTACCTCCACCACTTCCACCACCTATGCCTTTTGACTTTGACCAACAAAGTGTACCAGATATTACAAACCATTGGGAACAACCTTCACAACCATGGAGTAATGATAGACCCAGTTTTAATGAAAACCAGTGGAATATGGAGCAATCTGATCAATGGAAACATCCTAACCAGTGGGAACAAGAACAAAGTGATTCAAACTTTGTAAACAATCAACCTCAACTTCAGTGGCCTCAACATGTTCAGAGAAGTCAATCCCAAGGAGATTTTAGGCCAAAATGGAAGAGAGGAATAAGTAATTGGCCAAGAGGCCCTAGAAATTTCATTCCACATTCTAGACCTACCGGTAGATGGAATCAGGGACCCCGTTTTGGACCGAGGAATCAACCTTGGTAAGTGAACTGTTTTAAGTTAGACTTAGACTGAACTGAGAAAATGTATATTATTATAATTTAATAACACTAAGAATTGCTGTTGTTAACATCGAGGAACTACCCAAGTTGCTTGAACATTTTTGTTTCATTGTTATATATTTGTATACTAATAATATAAGTTGATTATTATTTACAAAAAAGTGATGTTTATTAATTACATTAAAAAGAATTTTTTTATTTATATTTGTTATTACTTTGACAATTGTATCATACCTGCAGCATCTAACTGATCACGAATCTCGTTTTTTCATTGTTTTATTTTTTAATTACTCAAAATAAATTAATAGTTTAATTATTGCATATTTTGTTAATTAAAATTCAAAATAAATGCATAGTTTTATTTAACCAGATTTAGAAGCCTATTAAGTGCAATATATTYTTATAAACTTAAAAATGTATTCACTTATAATTAATATTATGTCCAACTATTCTGCAATTTGTGTGTTAAAAAATTAATGTTAACATAAAAACTTTTTTTAATTAATAAATAAAATGTAAAGTGTACATTGAAGTATTTGGTTTGTCAAGTGTTATCAATATTACATCTGATAATGTGCTTTATATAATATTTCTAAATGTGTCTTTGTTAAAAAAAAATACTCGTAACTGTTTTATTGTTAATTTTCATACCTAAAATAGAAAGGAATCAACACTTGTAATTAAATATTAATTGGGTGGTTTTTTTTTTTATATATATTCCTGTGGCATAGAGTTTCAAACCTGAGGTTTTTATATGAGTAAAATATTTCAATATAAACTGAATTCTGTATTTTATTTCTTTATTATGATACCTATATTTGACATGGTTATTTTAAACCTTATACAATATTTTTATTTTATCCATAAAACATATTATTGAATTCAACATTTCAAATATCTAAAGCAAACTAAGTAATATTTATAAAATTTATTGATGAAAATAAAATTATTGATAATCTAATAAAAAAAATATATTTATTAATTTAGATACTTCTTTTATTATTATTATTTATTTAACTTTCAGTACTAGACTATTACATCAATTAAATGAGATATAAATATAGGCAGTAAATATTGTCTAATATCTTACAATTTAAGAACTTATACAATTATTATGACATATTACTATTATCTGATAACAAATATTAAATAATATAAAATGTATTGTTGACTAGTTGAATAACTTCAAGATTTTTGCTTTAAATCTAGTAAATGATGTTCTATAAAGCCATAAAGGGTTACAAATAATTATAAATCTATTCTTTCACAATTCATAATCATTAATCAGTTATCATTTATCTAACCTATTGGGACAAATTATACACGAGTATAAAAAATAAGTACAGCTGAGTCTCATTAAGGYGAATAAAAATAAATTTGACTTACATATTTTTTTAGTTCTAAATCTCAAACTTAACAAAACAACTTTATGGAATTTTTTAAGGTGACTCGACTATATATTTATTTATATATCTTTCCACTTTTCCAGTGATCATAATTTAAATGATTAAACTAGGTACTTCATTATTACCTAAAATATTATAAATATATTCTACTCATTATTTAACTAATTTTTTATGAATAGTTCATATTATAACCAGAATTATTAATTTATTATACTCATTGAATTGCATTATTATGACCTGAATGCAATTATATGCCAGTCATTGTGTCATTCTATATATTTCAATATACTTGAGCTTAATTCGGCTTATGAAAACTGTTCAAATTTCTTTGATGTTTGATTAATGGATATTATATTGTCATGATTTTTATTTTGTTTTATTTAGAATTGTATTATGTATATTTTTTCATAATGAATTGATTTTCATTAAATTACCAACTGAAAAATTATTATCTTATTAAATGATGCACCAATTATGTATTTTGTTTGTGTTCTTATGTTGTATGTATTCAAAATGCTTCATCTTATCATTTTCGTTGTTATAAAATACTCATTAGGTAACTGGATATCTACAATTTTGCCAAAAACGTGGAAGTATGATTATGACGAAGAATGAATAATTTAAAGTGAGATCATTCATTTACAATCCATATAAATGTATAGTTTATGTTTTGCATTTTTTAATTATTGTTTAATTTATATTTGTGTTACCAGTGATACATTTGTAGTACTATATACAAGCACAATTTGGTGGAAAGGCTCAGCCATCAGAATACCTTGGTTATTATTTAACTCCCTTCTTCAATCATGTTTACTTAATACATGATATATTTTTATATATATGTGTATATAATATTATATTGCATTATTGTACAGTACAATAAATTTTAAAATATCTTTAAAAATTATTCATTATTGATAAAATTAAATACTATTTTATGAACAAAATAAGCCTTCTTTGGAAAGTTCTTAAAGTGCAACTAATATACTTTAAAATATTGTTAATGACTTGTATTTAATATTCAGTGTATGACAATTTTTTGGAAATTATTGTTTACTATGTATTCTATTGTTTACAAAGGTAATTTTGTTTTCAACTTATTATGAAAGTCATAAAAATAACCTATGAGCAAAGTTGAAAGCATTCAGTTAGATACTTTATTAATTACATTCAAATAACATTGCATATAAATAATTATATCCAGTTAATAGTACCTCCATAAATTATATTATCGTTAATATCTTTTATSTTGTCTCTGTCTTAAAAATTTATAAAATTTGCATTCAGTAGAATTACTCTTGTGTTGTTAGATTTTGTATTAAATTCAATTACTTATTAGACACCTATCAATCATAAAGTTATAAACATTTTATGTGTTTGTACATATACTGTTATAACAATATTTTAATTCTTCTGTAGAATATGAGCATTTTCAAACTGTAATATTCTACGTACTCATAACTTTTAACCTTAATAATGGCAATTTTTTAAAATAATTTATTATTAATTGATAAAATGTATGATGTGCTGATGTATCTATAATATGTAAAATTTTGTTAAAATATAACAGAAGAAAGTTATTAGGTACTAAAAACTCATTATTTTAATTAAAATCAATGACATTTAAATTTATGGTTGACATATTTTAATTTAATTGTACAACAAACTGCCAATTAGTATTATTAATAATATTCATATGTAAATTTTATAAATAATGTTCTATGTGCGGATCCCACATAACATTTTTTTACTACAGAAATAATTATTATTAACACAATTTAAAAAAATTACATAACACATTTATACAAATTGCAAATTGTAATCATAAGATTTATTTTACATTATGTRTTAATTAAATCATCAAATAAAGATATACTAATGGATTACAATATTTACCTATATGTACTATGTTTATGTATATTATGTGTACTGTAAATATTATACCGACTTTGTTTAAACTATCTTGTTTTTGTTTACCTAAAACTACTTAGGTAATTGCTTTCCCTACAAAATACAATTTGAATTCATTGAAATGTAGTGATGTATTTAAGAGTACGCTATACCTGCATGTGTTAWTTCCGTCTTACAAATATTGAAATGTAAAACATTGAGAAAAAACTGATTTGCGCGGGAAAGAACCACTCAAACTGTAATCCAAGCCAATCAACCAAATTTTCACACTCTAAAAAGGAGAATATTTACTGTGCAACATTTTTTTTAACTTTTTGATATCACAAATATAAAAAAAAAAAATGTTCTTATTGTTTAAGAAATCATTATTTTTGAGTTTTTCAAAGTTGAATGACTTCTTTAGTTCTGATACTGAAAAAATAAAAACAATGTTGCACTGTAAATATTCTCCTCTTTATAGTGTGATA